ACAAATTTTTATAAATATAATTACCTTTTGCGACGATAAGTATTTGGTGTTTACAGGAAGACTTTGTGGTAATATTTGACATCCAACACAAACATTTCTGACATTCTTACTGCTATGTCTGTACATTCTCTTTAGTCTTTGCATTAATGAATGATTAATGCGTTTCAATTTTTTGATTTCATCTAATACAGAACTTATAAAAAATTATAATTACAATGTTTTAAAAATACTAAATAGATTTTGAATATTCCAGAAATACTTACTTTTTCTCAAATCCAAATTGTAGTAGTTCTTGTTGTTGGGACTTTAATTTTGAACTAAGTTTGTTTACATATTCTCGTTGCTCCTCCATCCAAATGCGAATGCAAGAAACAACATACTGTGATTGATTACAAAGTTCTGATCTACTCATGGCTGTTTCTGTCAATTCTGCTGATATACAAGCCAAAGATTTACTTTTTAGCTGGCACTCCCTTTTTAATTCTAGCAACGATTTGTGTGTCTCTTGTAACTAAAACACAAAATTCGTTTAATGAAATTTGTATTGAAATCATATATAAAAAATATTTTTTTTAAAAGCTATTATATATTCCTTTACTTCTGAAATGATTTCACAATTATTTTGCTCTACTGCAGTCTTTTCCTTAACAAGAACACGATTTTGTTCTATACATTCTTGTAATTGTTGTATTATAGAGTGTTTTGACTCTTCTATTTTTTTAACTTTCTCTCTTTCTTTCTCTATCTAAGAACAAGGAAAATTATTCAGCTATTATGTACAGAATTATTTAGAAACAAAAATTCATCTGTTTCACCTGTTGTTTTAAAATGTTTATTTGTTCTGCATAAGATTTACAAATATCTTGTAGCTTATTGTGTTCATCATGCTTTGATGAATAATTTCTTTGAATTTTCTCCAACTCATCTCTGAGTTTATCTAAGCATTCTCCAAGTTTACCTTTTTCCTTCTCAATGCTTGATAGTTTTGAGCAATAATCTTTCTCCTAAAATAGAGAACAATAATAAAATTTTTAGTGAAACAAAGCATTTTAAAATAATATGTACCATATTTGTTAAACATTCTTGTAAATTAGCTTCACGTTTTGTCATTTTAATTAATTGTTCTTGTGTTTTATTAAAGTCTTCTGTGACCCTACAATAATTGTTTTCAGTGAAGCATAATTGCATTTGAACATTTTTCAACTGAAATAAAGCTAATATTAGTATAATCTCGAAATTGTTTATAATCTTGTAATTGATACGTGTTGAGATTTGCTAGAATATACACCATTATTTGTAATTGACAAACATCTTCTTTTGTTTTATCTTCAAACGTGCTGTTCTCCATTTTCAATATAGAATTATCATTCTGCAATAAAATATTTTTAACATAACTATAAAAAATGTCATAATAAGATAAAATAATTTGTTGTAAAGATTTTTAAAATATTAAAACCAAATATAAGAATATTTGCACATGCCCTTAGCACTTCATAATCTGCTTGTAGCTTAGCCATATCATCTGATCTTTCTTTTAGCATCGTTTTCAAAGACTGTATTCGTTCATATAAAGTTGGCATTTCTTCTTCTGCTTGATTTAATTCTGATAAATATGCTTCAACTTGTCGACTTTTTATATCTAACTTCTTTTCAAGCTCGTCAATTATTTCTGTTTGCTTTTCCATAACAGTTTCATTATTCGTAATCTGACTGCATAAATCTTTAATCTGAATAAAATAAAGCAATTCATATTTTTATGGTTTATTGATTTACTAATTATAATTTCAAATTGTAATTGTAATTATTTAATTAAAATATACCTGTTTTTGTTTGTCTTCTAATTTTTTCAACAATTTCTCAAATTTTGCGCCACTTTCTTGAATGGACTGTAACTGTTCCAATAAATCATCTGTTTTTTTAGTTTGCTTTTTTAATTCAGATTTAAGTTGTTTATTTTCGTATTGTAAACAACACTCTGTGTCTTTTAGTTTCTGTAATTCAAATGAAATGTGCTGAGCATAAGTATCATTTTCTCTTTCTGTCTTTAATTCCTTGTCAATTATATCAAAATCCAATTTGTATTTTTGTAACTGCCTTTTCATATCTTCATTTTCTTTGATTAAAATTTCAATTTCTGTTTGTAAGTCATGTTCATATAATAAACTTTTACATTGTTCTTTATTATTACATATTAAGTCATTAAGATTATGTATATATTGAGTAATGCAGTCCTTATCTTTGACTTCTACTTTACACTGACATTCTTTATCTTCATAAATCTTTGCCTTACGTTCAGTTTTCAATGCTTCCTTTCTAAACACATTGATAGTAAAATACTTTTTTAAATGTTGTAGCTTTTAGTTAATAGCTTTGTATTGACATATTACCGTAATTCTTGTAATTTTCCTTCTGCTTCTTGCCATAGTTTTTTCATATATAAATATTTATTTTCTAAATGACATTTTGATTGCATTAGAGTATTCACCTAAAATGAAATTAATATTTTACAAAACATAACTCAAAAAAATTATGTTGTTTTTATTTTTCATAACACTTGTCATACCTTGTTTCGTAAAACTTGAATATCGTTTATATGAATTTCCAATTGTTCCTATGAAAAATGAAAAAATATTAATACGATTACTAAAACAGAAATTTTAACACTTTATGAAATTAACAATAATTTATATTTATTCTAGTATCTACAAATAAATATTATAAGATGTAAGAAAACTCTGATAGCAAAAAACACATTGTCTTTTTATTTTCGGAATATACACATAAAACAATTTATATGACTGTTTATAACAATGTTTTAAATTTCTCTCTACCTGTACTGTTTTTAAAATCGAATAATATGTGATATGGACAAAGGTAATAGTTAAACGATGATCATATTCCATACAACTAATTTTTTGTTGAAGATCATGAATTGCATCTCGTTGTAGCTCTAATAATTTGTCTTGTCTAGCTGCCTATGTAGAAAGAAAATATTATTAATTTTGTAAACAATAATTCGTTTTTTTCGTATACATATGAAAATAATTACAATGGAAAAATGTCTAACATACCTCAGTAAAGCATTCATTATATTGACTTTGAGTTTCTTCTGTATAAACTGTCAGTAAATGAATAGCTTCAGTTTTTTCTTCAAGCTGTAAATTATAGGCTATTCGGTTGCTTTTTCACGAATAGTGTTTCAAAATGAACACTAGTTCCATATTAATAACACTATCAAACACAAACGTTATTTTTATGTATCATATCTCCAAATCCCCAAATCATAATCAACTATGCATTGTATTTGGTACCAAACGGGAAATATTAATTTAGAGTTAGTTTAAAAACATTGGTATGACCAAAATAAGGAAGAAAACTCATGCACGTCATTTATATAGCTGTTTATTATTAATAAATATTGATAAATTTCTTTAATAAATTGTATCTTATTGCTATTAATAACTATAACTATTTAAATAGCGAAATATAAATTCATGTATTTTAATTTTAAGTGGATAAAATAAAATTTTAACAATCATTAACAATATTTACAGAAATAGAGTTTTAAATATTCCTACTTATATTACATGAACAAATAGCATCTAAATTGTATATTACTTGGTTCGATTTTTTAAACTTAAATCTTGTAAAAATTTGAATACTTTAAGTAGATGTCTTAAAACAATCCAGCATAAAATATTTAAAAATTATCTATAATACATTTAAAACTTTCAAGTTGTACTGTTTACTACTTTCTCATGGTTTGAAAAAAATGCACTGATTGTTAGTTTTATACAAATAAGTCGAGTGTTATTTAACTATTGCAAGTCAAAATTTAAACATCATGCACATTCCCTTGATTGTATATTGAAGATGGAATTGTAGACCACTGTTCACTCGAGTCACTTACAGTTCTATGTCCCATTTGATCTATACATTTTTTAGCTTCCACTACAGCATTTTGTAAGTGACCAATAGTTTGAATCTGAAGTTCATTCTAAAAAAACAAGGTATCTTTGGATTAACTGATAGAAAAAAAATTTTATATAATTTATAAATTACAAACACTATATTAGAAGAAATTTTCATTTTATATATTATAAAATCATAAGTAACTAAATTGTTATGATTGAAATAAAATAAAATGAGTCAAAATTAAAATTTCTTTCCCAATGTTTACTAATATTAAGAGAAATAAATACAAACCTGTTTTAATAATTCTTTCTTTTCTTTTTCATATTGAGAGATTGTTCGATCTTGATTATCAATCTAGAA